CCCCAAAACCCCAAAACCCCAAAACCCCGATCATCAAGTAAACAAGAAATGACAGAAAATTAAAGATTAAATTAAAGTAAATATTATCAAGGCAATTCTGCTTCTTATGCCATTCATTGTTTTCCTAATTGATCATTGAAATATAACTGAAAAGAAGAGTATATGGAGAATGAACTCATCACCAAAAGCAAAAGCCCTCCAAATATCGCAAAAGCTATTCCTGCTTTCCCCTTTTGACCACTATATTGGTTTTTATGTCAAAATATCTTACTCAATTTAGAAATACAAGCAGCATTTATAATAAAACAAGCCAGGAATTAAGAACATAATATAAGGCAATATCGGAGCTTTCAATAACTTCAAAGCTACATTATCCTTTAATGATGAAGCTATCTGCCAAGTATCTTAATTGTTGATATAAAAGAATTAAGCACTTATGACTAAATTAGGTATGTATATCAGCAATGTGCCAATGACATACTTGGTATTGCTTATCCTAAGATAAGGCTATCTTACTATCTGGTATAGATCATCTTGAATCTTCCTCACCATCTCAGGTGTATAAATATTCTTAGTAGAGCTATAAGTTTTCAATTCATCTATCTTCTTTGATAACGAAGAATTGACAATCTCATCAAATAGTACGAAAAAGAACTCTTTACCAATGTAGAATTGGAAAGGTATCACTAAATATACATTGAGTATTTATAGCCAATACCATATTTTACCATAAATGTTCTCCTTGAAAAACATTAACAGAAGGAAATAATTTATCTCCTACTAATCTTTCTCATTAACATTCAAGGAAAAGTCTAGATATGTCAAGATACAATAAATCAATGTGAATGAAAAAATAATGGCTATTGGGATTGCATATAGTTTCCTACCAATTTTCTATCTTTTAGGCTCTGAAGTACTTTACATCATCCAAAGGTAGAATATTTGCATTTAAAATAACTGGCAAAACTCACCAAGAAACATCCAGGGAGAATTGAGTTGGAAAAAATCAGAGTGAGCTCTAAGCATAGGGAATTGCTTTTATATAAATATTATGCAAAACATGCTTATGAATGTACCAATATTCACAATCATAATCAGATAGCTTATAAACTGTGATATCATAAATCCAATGATATTTACTTACATATATTTTCTAAAAATCCTTGATTAAGCACAAAGGTATCAGTGTCACTGAGATCACTACCATACTCATATTATATAACATATTGTCAGTATAGAACTTTCCATCTTCAAATCTTGTAAAGATCACTTGTATGAATATGTTTATCTAAACTAAAATGAGTTAGCAAACATTTATAACATACCAATATATTAGCTAGGCAAAGACAAATAAAAAGATATCAATGCGAGTGAAATATAGAATATTGCAGTCCTACCACCTCCGAGATAGTAAGCAATCTCAGGCAATGAACTATATATAGAATTAAATTAAGGAAGAAAGAATAAAGTGTTTGACTCAAAATTTGATTGGATTTTGCAGCAATACCTTAACTTAGTCATCTGAATCATTTAATATAAGAACTCGCATGAAATTAATGTAGCAATGCAAATCATTACAAGTATTGCGAAAGCTGTACTTAATTATTTTTCAACTTATTCTTACTTGCATAGGGATCAAAGAACAGAGGAGCGATAACAAACTAGAATCCACAACCAGTAGAAACAGAAGCAATAATCATAACTGCATTTATGTATCACAGCTTCTTTTATCGAATGACCTAATCTAAATATATATTTATAACCTGGAAAATATTGACTTACTTCCTTAAATGTTAATTATTTCATAATTAGAGTTAAGAGTCTGTGATAACTCTTTGTTGAGTCCTTCCTAATGATTCAGGGTAGACTATGTATCTCGATTGTTTAGTGTACTACTAAATAAATTTGTTCTAATTTATTAGGTTAAAATGGAATAGTTTTGGATAAATGGAATATTACAGCCTTTTCATTTTTAGCTTAAATTACTTTAATAAATTAGCTCTATACAAGATTATTTCATCAATTAGGGGTTTTGGGGTTTTGGGGTTTTGGGG